GCGACCCTTGCGAAGAACCACTTCCCATCAAAGCTCCCCTCAGCTCCAATAGTCTGATCCTCGCAAGCTCCGGGATTCCATGGAAATGTTCCACCTCCAAGTACACCAAATCGTGAACAATCTCAACACCCAGAGAATCAAAGTATGCGGCTCCCTCCTTGAAGTCTACCTGCTCCAAGATGTCCACTATGCTCATTCTCAAAAGGTCCTCGGAATAAGGATCCCCGGATTGGGGCCTCATGTGTTCTGCGGGCAACGGATCCTGGGATCCTGTCGCTCTGGATTGGCGTACTTTCGGAGGACGAGGGCTCTCAATCGCAGCCAAGAAAAGTTCATTTCGCGAGGGGCCAAGATCTAACAGCCATGCAATGACTCCGGGCCTTGCAACATTGTCCTCACACATGATCAACACGTCATGCACCGACACTATCTCTTGTTCTTCATCAATTGGAATGTTATATGCTGGGAGTCCTTGGTCCAAGTGAGCAACGTTGACCATTACCCCCACCGCTACGTCCAGGCCGTCTGTTACCATCTGGAAATCCCTCGGCGCCGACATGATATGTCCTCTCTGCCACTCCAAGAACTCGTCCGGCCTCATGTGAAGCCTCCACAAGGGATTTCTCTGAGGACCTGTGTCAAGAAATTCCTCCTCTGAGAACTCATCCTGGCTCTGTCGCGCATAGCTTGCTGTGGATTCATCTGACGCAGCCTCGCTGATATGAGTCATCTCTGAATCGGAGCTCGATGGAGAATTCTCATCCTCTAGAAGATCTGAGCGAGCCATCTTGCACACGCTGGCCAACACCACCGACGAGGCCTTGGGAACTGCGGCTGAAGCTTTAGCTTTTGCTGCTGCTCCCTTCTCCACTCCCATCAGGGTTCCACTGGCTTTGGCTGCTGCTTTGGCTGTAGCTGCATCCTCATGAAGATATCGACACTTGTCCCCAAATTTGCACGTGCCCTTCTTGTGGTTCCGACACGGAATTTTCTTCCTCTGAGCATCTGTCTTGGGATTCGTAGGCGGAGGTTGATGCGATGCGTCAGGATGCTTGTAGTAACAGCGATCTCCGAAGGAACAGCTGCCCTTCTGTAGGAACGGACACGGTATCTTCTTCTTGTCCTCTTGGCCCTTGACCCCTTTGGTTCCATCCTTGCCCTTGCCTTTGAATCCCTTTCCTTTACCTTTGTTCGCCAAGCTGATCTCATGCTCGCCTGAGGTGTTGCTCTTCGAGTACTCGTCCGCCGACAACAATCGGAGTTCTTTCTCGATATTCTCCAGCATGAGTTCGACACCCTGAGCCTTTCCCAGCTGTATCGACGTGTCCAATCTGCAAAGAGACATCCTTGTCCTCAGTGAATCATGCTTCTTTTCTAGCCTGGCAATAAGGGTTTGGAGACCTTTGAGCAGCTCAAATGGCGCCGCTTCCGGCAACCCCAGGCTCTGGATCCTGGAGCGAGCCAGTTTCCACCGGCGTAGCACCTGAACCGCCTCGGTTGCTGAACCAGCCGGCTCAAGAGAGCGTATGAACTTGGTCAAGCTCGTTTGCTCTGAGCAACCTCCTGGTTGCACCTGGCCACTTAACTCCTCCAAGATCTGCACGGGGTGGATCTCATTGGCTGAACTTGTCATCTCCATAGCTGGGGCAGTGATCCTCTCTGGGAGCACTCTTAGCAATTGCACTACAAGTCGTCCTGCATATCCCGAAGGGTAACGGCTGTAGGAGCCCAGGGCGGGCATCTCCCGGTCCTGAGCTTTGCACTGGTATCTCATCTCTGCTTCGGCCACACAAGCTTCCACAAAGGATTGGAACTTCCCAGACGCTGTTCCCGCAACCGTACACAGTTGACGTTTCCAAGTGGAATAAGACATTCCCAGCTCCCACGGAGTTTTGCCTGAGAAGTCAAAGTTTGGGATGTCCGTCAGCACCTTCCACTGCTCCTTGTCGGTTTCCATGCGATCCTCTTGTCTAGATTTCTCGCTCGTCTCACGTCCTCCACGCACCAGCCCCGGCGACGTTGGCGCAGCCGGACCAACATGGCCTTCTTCTCCACGCACCAGCCCCGAGCCTGAAAGCGCACTCTGACCATGCTGTCCATCTTCCCCGCGCACCAGCCCCGCGCCTGCTGGCGCACTATGACCATGCTGGCCATCTTCCCCGCGCACCATCCCCGAGTCTGTAGGCGCATTCTGACCATATTGGCCATCTTCTCCGCGCACCAGCCCCGGGAACGTAGGAGTTTGCCGGCCAGGATGGCCAACTTCCTCACACACCAGCCCCGGCGGCGGCGTGAGTCCCCAAGGATTCTGGCACCCCGGGTCTTCACGCCACGCATAGTGATTGTCCATCTTCTCCCTGTTGTTGCCCTGCCAACCCCACCATTCATTCTCGGCCTCGTCGGCGTCGAACTGCGGCTGACCACTCGCGTCCTGGCAGTAAGCGTCCGGGGTCAAAGGGAAATGAGCAGCACGGTCGTTAGCACCTTCCACCAACACTTCCATGTCTTGCCTCAGTTGTCCCAACTCCTCCTGAACTGCCTCCTTCCAAGAATCTTCTTCGATCATGGCCACCCTGGCTAGCAAGGTCTCTGCGGCCTCTGCCACATGACTTGTCTGATTGCTCAAGCTGTCCACCCGAGCCCGAAGTTCTTCCACTAGCATATCACCCGTGGCTGAACGCGACGCCCCAGTCTGCCCAGCTATGGTCTGCTGCAGGGCTTCCGCCTGGCAGTTCAATCTGACGTCCTGGGCTTTCATGAGGTCCCGAAGTTTGGCAACCTGTGCTTCAAGCATTTCCATCTTGGCACTCATGGCTGCCTCCCGTTGCAGGAATCCATTCAACTCCCGCTGGTGACTTGCGTGATCCTGGACTTGCATTTCCAAGCTCTGCTTCACCTCATTCCTCATCTGTTCCATTGTTGCGCGCACTTCCATATCACCTCTAGCTTTGGCATCCACCAAGCCTTGGATGACTTCTTGCTGTCTCTGCAGGTCGGCATGAAGCTTCTCCATACCACGGACCATGTTTCCATAGCCCTCCTGCACGCCGTTGACTGTCTGACCAACATTCTCCAAAGCTGTAGCAAGCACTTCGGTCCGATACTGCACCCTGGAGGACAATTCAATCATAGCCGCCTGGATGTCAGCTGCAAAAGAAATGTCGTCGGAGATGCTAGTTGCGAAGGATCTCAGTGCATCTGCCGGCATCTGGATCTGGGTCATCTGCCTGAAGGTCACGACAGGGGATTGCTGCAGCTCTGCTGAAGCTAATGCTGCTGCTGCTGCTTGTTGATGCGGAGTGGTGCTGGGAGCCCTTGGGCTCATAACCTCTTGGAGGTTATGAGCTTGAGGGTTGGTAGAAGGGGTAGTGGGAACCAACGAATAATGACTAGGAGCAGGAGATCTACGAAACTGAATAGGTACGTCATCAAGAGGGTCGTAAGTAGATTGCATAGCTTACATGCACTACAAGCATGGACGAACCTCAACCCCAATCCTTCCCTCAAAAACCCACACCATCGGCGATCTTTTGTCGCACTTGAGCCATGTCGAATGGCGGTACACTTCTCGAGTGTGCGTGTCATCTTGTACACTTCTCGAGTGTGCGTGTCATCTTGTACACTTCTTGAGTGTGCGTGTCATCCTTGTGCAGGATCCGAGACAAACCCTAACCCTGAACCCGGCCTCCCTCAATACACCCGATTTTGGATTTCCACGGAGGCCTCGGCACTTCGAGCGCAGCACGCCCTGCAGCCGGCCGAGGGTCGGGGAGCCCTGGCAGGGTTTAGGGTTTAGGGTTTAGGGTTTAGGGTTTAGGGTTTCTGTGGAAATCTGGCAGGCCTTCTGAAGCATCCGAAGCCCCGGACCCCAAAAACCAAACCCTACAAACCCTAAACTTTGGATGTTCCCTCTTATGCTAACAGTCCTATTAGCAGGTATTATAGTACACCCTACGACAATCCCGATTAAGGACTGCTAGTATAAGGGGGAACATCCCAACCCTAAACCCTAAACCCTAAACCCTAAACCCTAAACTCTTAAGCCTACCCTCGGCTTCCATCCTCCCCTGCACCGCAAAGGCTCGCAGTAGCCGGTCATCAACTGGGTGAGGTTTCTTGTGGCCAACGATGGCTGGTTTAGAGTGTTAGGGTTTTAGGGTTTAGGGCTTAGGGTTTAGGGTTTAGGGTTTAGGGTTTAGGGTTTAGGGTTTAGGGTTTAGGGTTTAGGGTGCCGGGTTTAGGTTAGGAGCAGGAACCTACCCCAAATTAAATTCAGCTTGTGGGCTTTGGGTTTTGATTTTTGAGGTATCCTACCGGCGCTCATTCACGGTGGCACTTCTCTGGTCCTTGCGAGCGTCTATATTCGGGGCCCCGTATCTTAAACCCCATATGGGTATTTCCACCCCCCCCCCCCCCAAAAAAAAAAAAAAAGGGCACCCCTATCTTCGGAAACCCCCAAACATCTGTACTCATTTTGCCGAAGCCCGAAAGCCGAATTCGCTAAGCCGGACGCCGCAGCTTTGGCTGAAGGGGCCGCTCTTGAAAGATTTGGTTGCTTAGGAGGGTTTAGGGTTTAGGGTTTAGGGTTTAGGGTTTAGGGACCCCTATAAGAAAGACCCCCCAAAGAGTAGGATCTCCTTATAAGAAGGACCCCCAACCCATTGGCAAGTTCAGAGAGCCCGAGGCCCCCCAAAGTACCAGGCCTACGAAGAACCGCCCTAAGCCGCTCCAAGAGCTGTTTCATAGCAACCAGTGCTGAGAACATCTGTACACAAAGAGATGAATAGGTACCCTCGTGGTTGAATCACCCCCCCCCCCCCCCCCCCCCTCAAAAAACGAAAAAACAAGAGATGAGAAGTCAGGGTAGAAGGCCAAAGGCACACCATCAATCTGTATACTCTAGTGGTCGGAGTCCTATACTTCATGTGTGCAAAACACGTACCTGGCAGTAGGATCTGGGGCGCTTGTACATAGCCCACCCGCGCCCTGCTGAGCCTGACATGAAGGTGGCGATCACAGGTGCGGCCAGACCCCAGGTGAAGTTAGGGTTTAGGGTGGTTTGGGGTTTGGGGTTTATGGAGTTTCAGGGTTTAGAGGGTTTAAAGGGTTTAGAGGGCTTTTCGGGTTCGGGGTTTACAGGGTTTAGGGTTCATGCTGGTGTTCACGTGCATGGCGACATGAGCGGCGCGCATTCTAGGGAACTGCACCGTAAGTTTTTGGAGCAGTTGGCGGCTCGGCTTCTTTCACAGCCAAAGACTATCACTAAGTGACAACCCGTAGCCCCCCCCCCAAACCCGCCATCCCTGTAAACCCTAGAACCCATGTATATAAACCTTACTCTGACCCAGGGGCTCTCCGAGTTGCGGAGGGTCAGCCCTAAACCCTAAACCCTAAACCTTAGACCCAAGAAGGCGCTTTCAGCTACTCTGGCCGCTATCTCGCCAAGCTCCTCCTGGACGCAGGGCACACGGCGACTGCTCGGCGTTCAGGAGGTTCGTGTTTGAGGGGGGCCCAGGTCGGTCTGGGGGTCCAGGGTTTAGGGCTTCCTTAAGAGCCCAAAACCTACTTCTTTGCAGGTTCTCACAGTAATGTCCCTTTTAGGCTTCTTGGGAAACCTACAAAAAAGTAGGTTTTGTGTTCTTAAGGTTTGGGATACACACCTAAGCCCTCAGGAGCAAGTCGGGGTGCGGGCCTGCTACTACCACTGTTCTTTCACGTCAGATGGCGTTGTTAGCCAAGTATGATCCCTTGCTCAAACCACCCCAGCCTCCCTAGTTCAAAGTTTCCCAGGGGTTTAGGGTTTAGGGTTTAGGGTTACTCTTCACAATGGCTAAGCGCCTTATCATCCTTTAAACCCCGGATCAGAAAACGTCAAGGGGGCCTGAGTTTTGGATTTCCATTCGGCCTGTGTTCTCAAGAATGCCCCACGCAGGGCCCAACCAAGTCCCTAAGTGGAAACACACACACACACACACACCTAAACTCATGCATTGGTAGGGGTGCCCAAATTCACAGCCACCCTCCCATACTCATGTTGTGCAAGTATACGAGCGAACAACATATTATTGTTGGCAGCCGTTCAGCACAACAACCTACAAGAACGTAAGGTTTTGGGGTCCTTGTAAGGACCCTAAACCCTAAACTGTAAACCCTAAACCCTGCACCCTGAACCCTAGACCCTAGACCCTAGACCCTAGACCCTAAACCCTAAACCCTAAACCCTAAACCCTAAACCCTAAACCCTAAACCCTAAACCCTAAACCCCAGCCCCAAAATCCACCGGCATCCTTGAGCCAAGGTTGTTTCTCTGTCGAGCCGCTTTGCACCGATCGCCGCTGCGCCCCTGACGAGTCAGGTGCTTTGCAAGGGTTTAGGGTTTAGGGTTTAGGGTTTAGGGTTTAGGGTTTAGGGTTTAGGGTTTAGGGTTAGAGGGCTGCAGACCAGATGCACAAGGGCGAACTTCCTAGTAGGTGGGGTCTTGAGACCTTGGTTGGATTTGGTTCTGTCCGCGCCGCCCTCACACGTAGGTGCAGATGCTAGGGAAGTATGAAGTTCTAGCGTAGGTACTTCGGACAGGTTCTCAAAGACCTAAGCCATATATGAACCCTGTATTCTTGCTTGATAGGGACTCTCAGACTGTATGGGCTTCGGGCAAGAGACCTAAACCCTAAACCCTAAACCCTAAACCCTAAACCCCTGAAGTGCAGGGCCCATCGTCTCCCTACGTCGTCGAGCCCTCCCACCCTTTGTCCCTCATCGATATGGAAATTTCCGAACAGGGATACCCTTTTGGGGGGGGCTCCTTATTAAGGGGATTCCATATTCTCTAGCTAAAGGGGTACCCCCCTAATTTGGGACATGCCCATCTAAACCCTAAACCCTAAACCCTAAACCCTAAACCCTAAACTTTTCTTTGCAGGAAGTGAGCCGAGTGGAGAAGCATCCCCTGGACTTTGATGATGAGAAGCGTCTAGGGGCAGCCCTGGAGGGATGTTGCGTGCTGCGCCTGGGCTTCATCTTGTGGCAACCCAGGGTTTAGGGTTTAGGGTTTAGGGTTTAGGGAGTTTTGGTCACTCTTTTGGGGACGTCACCCTTTGGGGGTAATGACCCTTGCCTACGTAAGCCTCATTTGCCGAAGGAGCGCATTGAAGGGGACACTTTAGCACCAACGTTGCCGGCATCACAATCCGACATACGCATTGCATGCCAGTGAAGCCGGCTGTTCCACACGGGGGGGGGGGGGGGGGGGGGTGGCTGGGTTTTGGGTTTATAGGGTTCAGAGGTGGATGCAGCCCATGAAGATGCAGGTGGTGTACATCCCTAAACCCTAAACCCTAAACCCTAAACCCTAAACCCTAAACCCTAAACCCTAAACCCTAAACCCTAAACCCTAAACCCTAAACCCTAAACCCTAAACCCTAAACCCATGCAGGTGGTGTACATACTGGATCCGCTTCGAGCGCAACGGCGACACCTTCGCGGCTGCAGCAGACAGATGTGCGCGCCTGTTTGAGATGCCGGGCTCATGTGTATCCCATGTTATGTAGACATATAATCTATATATATATATATATATCTATTTATGTATGCAGAACTTGTCTCATGCATGTATATCCGAGAGAAAGAGAGGTCTGGTGAGCTCTAACAACTTATGAACCAGAAGTGTGCAACCAGATGGCCAGATGCATCCAGGATAGCGCGTCAAGCCGGTGTGCGCCGCATCGTTTACACTTCGCATACCCACGCCACAGAGGCCCGCTGTTGCCTGCCGGTACTTGCCCTGAGACCTGGTCCGAAAAGGGTTTGGGGTTTAGGCTTAGGGTTGAGGGTTTAGGGTTTAGGGTTTTGGTTTTGCGGTTTAGGGTTTTGGGTTTAGGCTTTGGGGTTTAGGGTTTAGGGCGTAGGTTTCGGGTTGAGGGTTCATTATATGCACAAAATGTGTGTACTCTTCTTGCAGGACTCGCCCTTCGTCTACATCGCTGGCAAGGCCCGCGCGGCATCTGCCTTGCGAGCGTCTGGCGTGGCTTCCTACGCGCCTGGGGCAGCAATAGGGCATCTTGCCGCGGCAGCACATAGCTCTTTTAGGGTTTAGGGTTTAGGGTTTAGGGTTTAGGGTTTAGGGTTTAGGGTTTAGGTTCAGGGTTCAGGGTTTAGGGTTTAGGGTTTAGGGTTTACCATGCAATACGAGATTGTCAAAGTCGAGTGTCGAGTTTCAGTACCTAACCGCGGCACTGTGTCACAGAGCAAGTTCAGGCCATCGCCCGCCCTTGCGGCATCTTTGGCGACACCGCCGGGGAGTCGATTCTCATGAATAACGCGGCGTGGGTGTTGAGGCAGAGGGGGTCCGGCACATATAGTGCATGGATGATGTCAGGAATCATCTCCTCAATCTGGGATATACTGTCGTGATTGGGAATTTCCTATGCTAACCTGTTGAAGGTGGGTTGAGAGGGCGCACGCACCCTTCATTCGTTTTCCGAAGCCTGCGCACCCTCGCACCCAAACCCGGTAGTGTGGCAACAGCCAGCAAAAGCGAGTGGCAGCAAAAGACCTCAACCCAAACCCCCCCACCAAACCCTGCTGGGGTGGCCAAACGAGCCCTGAAACAGAAACCCTGAGCTACCCTAAGCTACCCTAAGTGCCAAAAACCAAATAGCCCCTAGAATTACCAATTACCCTAAATCCTAAGTACCCTAAACGGCCCTAAACTTTGAACCTTACATCCTAAACCCTAAACCCTCAACCCTAAGCCCTAAACCCTGAACCCTAAACCCTCAACCCTATACATCCCAACTACCCTAAACCAAACCCGTAGCATCCCAAGGCGAGCCCCGCTCTTCCTCCTAGCCGGGGATGGCCAGCAGCGCTTCCAGCCGATCCACGTCCGTGTGCCCGGTTCGCGGCTTCTAGGGGCTTAGGAGGGTTTAGGGCTTAGGGCTTAGGGTTTAGGGTTTAGGCTTAAGGTTTTAGGGTCAGAGAGACCTGGGGGAAGAAGGGTTTAGGGTTTATGGTTTGCGGGGGTGTTTATTAAAGTCTCGGGTTGTGGGGCTTTAGGGTGGTATCCAAGAGCCCTCCAGACTAAATGCTTCAACCCCTATTCATGCAGGTATGTGTGCTCATCAGCAGCTTTCTTATAAACATTGCTGAGTCATCGAACCCTGGCTACACATGTTGGACCACTCTTCGGTCGATATGAGCCGTCGAAGACCAGGGCTTAGAAGGGCTTACGCTACGCAGTCGGCCGCTTGAAGGCGCAACCTCGTGATAAAGCCCTAAACCCTAAACCCTAAACCCTAAACCCTAAACCCTAAACCCTAAACTCTCTCAGCGCATCCCTGCAGCGCAGTGCGGTCGGGAACCATCACATTCCAACCCATGGTTTGATGATGCTTAAACACCAGAAGCCTTCAGAACTCCCAAAGTCCATGCCCTCCTCAACCTTCATCCCCATGTCCTGAACAGGGTTTAGGGTTTAGGGTTTAGGGTTTAGGGTTTGGAAGGCCACCACGTCTCAAGGACATGGCACAGCTGCTCCTGGAGCTGGGCGCACTGGAGAACGAAGGGGCGCCCAGCGAAGAGCGCGATGCATGCACCTTGGTTCCCTATGTTGTAGGGTTCAGGGTTTAGGGTTTAGGGTTTAGGGTTTAGGGTTTAGGGTTTAGGGTTGGTCCATATGACGGAGGATTCCAAGACCCTTTGTTTGAGGTTGAGGGTTTGTTGTTAAAGTGAATTTTGGAGTTTGTAGGTTCCGAAGGTTTCATGTGGAGGTCTTTGTGTATGTATGTATATATATATATATTTTTTTTCTTTTGTGTATGGACCCCTTAATTCGGCACCCCTGCCCCCCCACATGGATGTCAATTCCAGGAGCTTCAAACAACCCAAGGAGTTTAGGGGGTTTGGGCCGCGCGTACCCCGAGTCGTGCATCCCACCCCGCTTGCAGTCCGCCCTCGTCTTGAACGAGCTATAAGTCTTCGGAAGGCCACGTTCTGCGCATAGGAAGGCTCTTTTCGAAGGCACCCCGGAAAAACCCTAAACCCGAAACCCGAAACCCGAAACCCTAAACCCTAAACCCAAGCAAGAACACAGCTGATTCCGGGGCGACCTTACGGGCTATTCGCCGCCGATTCCGGGTGGCACAGAGGCCCTAGACACTGTCCAAAACCTAGGGTTTAGGGTTTAGGGTTTAGGGTTTAAAGTTTAGAAGCTCTCCGAAACAGCTGGATATCTCAGGTGGCCCAGACAAGCCGACAGCGGTCGACTTGCCCCTTGGCAGCCTGAATCTCGGGTTAAGGCTAGGGGGGCTTGAGGGCTTTCTTGGGGTTCCAGGACTTCAGCTTGTTGGAGGGTTTAGGGTTTAGGGTTTAGGGTTTAGGGTTTAGGGTTTAGGGTTTAGGGTTTAGGGTTTAGGGTTTAGGGTTTTGGATTAAAGAGATGATTGTCCGGGGTTTGGTGCTTGTTCGACAGCATACTGCAAGCTAGATGTCCTGAACGGTATCTTATAAACCATCTGGCAAGAGCATTCCCATGTCTGTAGTTCTGTCCCACAACACCGGTCCAAACCCAAGCCAGTTGAGGATGAGCAGTGTACCTTCTGCGCCGTAGCAGTAAACCTTCAACTCGTACTTGCCTAAACCCTAAACCCTAAACCCTAAACCCTAAACCCTAAACCCTAAACCGTGAGTCGAAACCCTAAACCCTAAACCCTAAACCCTAAACCCTAAACCCTAAACCCTAAACCCTAAACCCTAAACCCTAAACCCTAAACCCTAAACTATAGCAGCTCCGCATGGCAAATTTCTGATAAGAATTGTCCTGAGCTATCCAGTCTGGATGCTTGCTTCAAAGGCCGACTCAGCTTCCCTCGGGCCGCAAACGGTTTAGGGTTTAGGGTTTAGGGTTAGGGTTTAGGGTTTAGGGTTTAGGGTTTAGGGTTTAGGGTTTAGTGTTTAGGGTTTAGGGTTTAGGGTTTAGGGTTTAGGGTTTAGGGTTTAGGGTTTAGGGTTTAGGGTTTAGGGTTTAGGGTTTAGGGTCCAGGTCGATGGGAGGGATGTCTGGCTGGGTGGATTCCGCACTACCAAGACTTCCCCTGCTCTGCCAGGTTTCAGCACATCGCCTCTTGCGTTCATTCGCGGGCCGTGGTTTCCGCGCCCGGGATGCTTTCGACAAGGCAAACCCTAAACCCCAAACCCTAAACCTTAAACCCTAAACCCCAAACCCCAAACCCTAAACCCCAAACCCTAAACCCTAAACCTTACACCCTAAACCCTAAGCCCCGATGCGAAGATCCTAGGTGCAGTGGAGCTTCGGGCTTTAAGGATGCTTAAGCCGATGGGTGTTTAGGGTTTAGGGTTTAGGGTTTAGGGTTTAGGGTTTAGGGTTTAGGGTTTAGGGTTTAGGGTTTAGGGTTTAGGGTTCAGATTTTTAAGGCTTGAAGCGGGTTGGCCCAGTCCACCTGTGTCATCAGGATCATTTTAAAAGGCTGCCGAATTTCTGGCGCTTGAAAGGACCAAGTTTGGGTGGGCAAAGGGGTTTGTTTCTTTGGGCCGTCTCTCCGAAGCTCAAGGACAACTCGACGAACCTCAGGATCTACAACAAACGAGAAGTATAATCCTCTCGAACCCTAAACCCCAAACTATTCTTTGCCTTCGTGTGCCAATTTTGAGTTTGGGGTTGAGGGTTTTCGGGGACAAGGCAGGGTTTTGAGGATGGGGTACTGCCCCTAAACCCCTAATCAAACGCCCTAAACCCTAAACCCTAAACCCTAAACCCTAATCTTGTATGCTCTTGTCTCCTGCATGGCGAGGCTTGTCACCCAGATGACGAAGCCCATCAACTGGTACACCGGAGATGTCATCTTGGACACAGATGCTCTGCACACATTTCGTCCTCGAAGCCTTCAAAGCGGTTTAGGGTTGGTTTAGGGTTTAGGGTTTAGGGTAAATGAGCCCGATGCTCAACGTCCTACCCCAACACCCAAACAACAAATCAATCATGCCGCGTGCCCTCCGCACATGAGCGTTCAAGGCCAGCGCACACAGATCACGAAGCACTTGTCACTGAACCCCGCGCCCCCAGAAGCGATTCCTACTGTTGATGTTTTGTAAGTAAACAGGGCTTCCTTGCACGACAGTACTTTCGCAGCAGTGCAAGACCATGCCAGGCAGGGGTTCAGCGAGTGCATGACTACCAAAGGCATGCACATGCTGGAGGGACGTCGTCCCGGATTGTGAGCCCCTCAAAACTCTAGACACTAACGAAAAGCCCGATGACCGTATACTACACAGCCGCAAAGCCCCCCCCCCCCCAAAAAAAAAAAAGCACACCTAAACCCCAGACGTGTGTGCTGCTCCCAGGATGATCTTGATCTCCTCTGCCTCTTCTCTGAGTTGGGGCGTAGGGTTTAGGGCTTAGGGTTTAGGGTCTACGGTCTAGGGTTTAGGGTTTAGGGCTGCTCGTGGCATTGCGCAGTGGGCGAATTGCTTGGATGGTTGCTGCTTGCCGTTCAGGAATCCAGGAAGGGAGGGGGCTTGCCTATCCACCATGATACAAAAATTAGCTGCTATAGCCCCCCCCCCCCCCCCCAATGCCTTGGGGACGAAATGAACCCTACAAGTGTTATGGTTCATATAGCTAGTCAGGGTATATGACCCCAATTTTAGGGTTCATTTCGTCCCCGAGGAAGTGAAGATTTGTATAAGCAATCGCTAGTTGTAGCCGACCTTGCAGGTTAGGAATGAGCCTTCATCTGTGTGGCTGTGAACAGGCTTCAGGCCCCCCAAAACCCTTCAACAATTGTTAAGGCCCCTGTATTACCTGCTGACCGTGGGGCAAATGTCCAGAGCAAAAAGACAGCGTTTCCCAGGTCTTCGCCCAAGTGCTAGGTTTGGGGGGTTTGCGATTCCAGGCGTACCTTAGTGGGGTCCTTATGATAAGGGGATCCTACTATTTCCCTAAAACCTTACAAACCCTAATTGGGGGTTCTGTATTCGGGCGACACCCTAAACCCCAAACCCCAAACCCTAACCCTAAAGCAGAAACCCTAAACCCCAAACCCCAAACCCCAAAACCCAAAACCCCAAACCCTAAACCCTAAACCCCAAACCCTTTCTTCGCCTGAAAAGCCAAGGCTCTGGTCTCACGCAGGCGGAAGTTCCGGAGGACCCGGCCATCTCAAGGCGTCGGAGCCTGCCCCTTCGGCAGAAGGCTGTTTTACTGGGCTTTGGGGTACTGTACTTTAATACTTTTTAAATATAGGGTTGAGGGTTGAGGGTTGAGGGTTTAGGGTTTAGGGCCTGGGCTTTGGAGTACTCTACTTTAATGCTTTTTATGGTTAGCCACTTATGCCTAAGAAGTCTATGCTTTGTTCTAGGGTCTACTCCAAAGTAGGATTTCAGAGGCGTCCTTTGCCTTGGGGACGACATGAACCCCGAACTTGGGATCATACACCATATACCCTGACTACGACAAAACATCCTGTCAAGGTATTTGAACCCTAAACCCCCTAAACCCTAAACCCTAAACCCTAAACCCTAAACCCTAAACCCTAAACCCTAAACCCTAAACCCTAAACCCTAAACCCTAAGCCCTATAAACCCTAAACCCTAAACCCCCTCAACCCTTTGAGGGTTCACGTCGTCCCCAAGGTGTGAGGCTTGAGGGTGCCCAGCTGCGAAGAGCTACGATATTTTCTTCAGACCCTAAACCCTAAACCCTAAACCCTAAACCCTAAACCCTAAAGCCCAAGAAGGAGAAAACATTCTTCCTTCTGAAGGGTCATACAGAGTATAGGGACTGGTATCATGAACATATTCTTCCTCATAAGGGTAATATTAGGGATTATTTTCTTTTTTTTTTGGGGGGGGGATCTCGAAGGGAAGTAGTAGATAAAGAGGCTATATGAGGTGTGGGGTTATCGGATTTGAGGCCCTAGTGTGACAGGTTGAGGAAGTGGTGTGGGGTCCTGCAAACACAAACCAAAGGTTGGAGCAGGTTTGTAGGCTTGAGGCTTCCCCCCCTCCCCCCCCGTGACCCTGATCCCTAAACAGAAACAACCCAGCGAAAGCGCCAATGCTACCCGAAACCCAAAGCCGTAAACCCGGATCTTGAAACACCAAAGGTTCACCTGGCTGGAGGACGTGGGCCCTCACTTGGGAAACGAGCCTTTGGCCGACGAGGGGATAGAGGCTAGGAGGTATTCCCTAGAACCCTTTTCTTCCGAAATGCACATCTGGCAAGTCTACGAACATAGCGGATTTTTGAAATAGACCCCAAATTTCAGAACTCCCATAATGAGGGCCCCAATAAGGTACCCCAATTTCGGAAACTCCTGCAAATCCCAGGAGGGGTGGAAAGGTTTCGGGCTGGCAAGTCCAGACGCAAAAAAGGTTGCAAAGGGTCTTGTGGCCGACGCAACATTCACTTGTTGTTTCTAGCCCTTTGGGTTCGAATACCTTGGTGCCCACCTCCCCCTGCGAAATCCTTTGTACCTTAAACCCAAAACCTCCGAAATTAACCCTCCAGACTTCTACTAAGCGAAATCGTAGTGTTCTGGCCATCTGCACGTGTAGCAGGGTCCAGGGCTGCACCTAGCGTTAGATATAAGAGTTCGGGTTTAGGGTTTAGGGTTCAAAAAAAGGGTTCAAAGTCTAGGGCTTCGGCGGCTTCGGAACCGACATCCTAAGAGGTGGTTTAGAAGCTCAGGAGTACATCTCTTCGATGCAGCGCTACTACTACCAGCGAGCCTAGCGGGCCCTTTTAGGATGTTTTTAAGGTTTGTTTAGTTCTTGGCAGCCCAGCCACAACGTAGTGCTCCTGGCAGAACCCTGCGATTGGCAAGCAACTTGAAAGAAAGCATGTTCATCATAATCACCATCATCAGCATAGATACACATACAGGCATACTGATTTATACGAGTTCGAGGAGGTTCGGCCGGCATAGCCGCCTGCCACAAAGGCAGGTAGGTCGCCTAGATGGGCTGCAGGGCACAGACTTCCCTAGGGGTCCCCTCACACCTGCATCCCCAAGAATCTCAGCCCTACAAACCCCTAAACCGCAAGCCCTAAACCCTAATCCCTAAGCCCTAAACCCCAAACCCCAAACCGTAAACCCTAAACCCTGAACCCTAAGCCCTCTTTCAAAGGCAGGGGTTGGGGACCCCGCATTTCAACAGAGTGATCTTCTCCCCAGCGGATGATCGCAGAGCCTCCGCGGAGAAACGCTTCCTAACAGCTGCTTTTGGGAGACCCTGGTCTCACTTGGCCTTCGGGTTTGGGGTTCTAGGGTTGAGGGTTCTAGGGTTTAGGGTTCAGCGTTTAGGGTTTAGGGTTTTAAGGGTGAAGTTGTTGGGATGGGAGGGTTTTGTTTCCGGGCATCTAACAAAGCTCATAATCTAGCAGTGTTCAGGCTTTGGGGTTCAGGGTTCAGGGCTCAGGCTTCGGGTGTAGGGTTTAGTTAGGGTTTGGGGTGTAGGGTTTAGCATTGGAAGCCACAGGCCCAGATATGGCGGTTGGAAAAAGCTCAGAGCTGGGCATTGGCTAAGGTAGGGGACCTCTTATGTAGACCTTCAGACTTCTCCTTGGTAGCCCAGTGGTACCCTTGTCTCTTCTTTTGGCGCAAGGTTCCCCAAAAAAAGTAGCCCACCCAAAAGAGGGCCACCCTAAATTTTGATCGGGCTACTGGGCTGCCAAGTGTCAGAAGGATCGGAAACCTCCGAAAGGGGCACCCCTGTGTTCTGCCCCCCCGAATAAGGCGCAATAGTGGCGGCGGTCGGCCTGATCCTTTGCTTCGCTGGAAGGTCCGGCACTTAGGAACGCTTATAATCTTATGTCATAAATTATAATGTCATTGCGAGGGCCCACTTGCTTCTTCCGAAGCGCTAGTTGCTCTTGCCCCACTTGCCGCACTTGCCTGCGGGTGAGCCCTCCCTCCCCCTCCCCCGGCTCGCTGGCTAGCCACAAGTCTGCCTCACAATCAGCGGCAAGCCCTTGAGCCTCCCCTAGGCCTGCACGGTCGGACATGAACCATTGCCGGAACGGGGTTGCTGTCCAGTTCAGTTCAACGGGCTAGACATTCGGGAGGGAGTGGGCCCCCTAAGCCACAGGCCCGTCATCTATGACCTTTCAGCGGATCTTACCGAAGAAACCCTCAACCCTAAAGCGCATCTCTTTCAAAGCTGCAGCCCCGAACACAGATTTTTCACAGACCTGAGCCACTAGGCCTCCCGCCTTTCCCTGGACCAAATGAACCCTAAACGGGTTTATGGCTCATACACCATACACCTGAAGAGGAGTTCTAGTAACTAGCGTAGGGTATAAGTATGCCCTCAGTCCAAACTATCGGTTTGGTCCCCAGATTTCTACCCCACCGTGACTTCAGGCATTTTCCCTACTCGGCTTTCTTCTGGCGAGCCAGGGGCTCGTTCTAGGGGTGATTCCTGTTCGGGTTTTGGGGGTTGAAGGGAGCGTTTAGCAGGTTGGTGCTGTGGCACTGCAGGGCATGTGCCATGACCAGCACGTGCCATGACCAGCAGATGGAGACTATAAGGCAAGAGCAAGGTCTAGGTACTTACTCTGTCAGTATCCTCCTGGCATGTGGGCCACTGCCTGAAACTGAAGGCACCACCCCCGATGCTGAAGGGGAGGCTTCGTTTCTCGCGCTAAGCGCCGTGGGCGGTGCCTAAGGTTGAAGCCTCAGAGGCCCCACCCCAGATGCTGGAAAGGCCCCACCTCTGCTGGAGAGGCCCTGCCCCAATGATGCTCATGATGCTCCCTGTCCCTGCTTGGGTTGGAAAGCCACAGCGCGCTGATGCCCATGATGCTCGCTTGCCCGCCTGCTCCGGAAAGGACTGGCCCATGATGCTCGCTTGCCCGCCTGCACCGGAAAACTCCCCCCTGTGCCGGAAAGGTCACGCCCACTGATGCCCATGATGCTGGAAAGGCCCCATCTCTGCTGGAGAGGCCCTGCCCCAATGATGCTCATGATGCTCCCTGTCCCTGCTTGGGTTGGAAAGCCACAGCGCACTGATGCCCATGATGCTCGCTTGCCCGGCTGCACCGGAAAGCTCCCCCCTGTGCCGGAAAGGTCACGCCGACTGATGCCCATGATGCTGGAAAGGCCCCATCTCTGCTGGAGAGGCCCTGCCCCAATGATGCTCATGATGCTCCCCGTCCCTGCTTGGGTTGGGAAGCCACAGCGCGCTGATGCCCATGATGCTCGCTTGCCCGCCTGCACCGGAAAGGACCTGGCCGACTGATGCCCATGATGCTCGCTTGCCCGCCTGCACCGGAAAGCTCCCCCCTGTGCCGGAAAGGTCACGCCCACTGATGCCCACTGATGCTGGAAAGGCCCCATCTCTGCTGGAGAGGCCCTGCCTCATGATGCTCCCCGTCCCTGCTTGGGTTGAGAAGCCACAGCGCGCTGATGCCCATGATGCTCGCTTGCCCGCCCTGTGCCGGAAAGGTCACGCCCACTGATGCCCATGATGCTGGAAAGGCCCCATCTCTGCTGGAGAGGCCCTGCCCCAATGATGCTCATGATGCTCCCCGTCCCTGCTTGGGTTGGGAAGCCACAGCGCACTGATGCCCATGATGCTCGCTTGCCCGCCTGCACCGGAAAGGACCTGGCCGACTGATGCCCATGATGCTCGCTTGCCCGCCTGCCCCGGAAAGCTCCCCCCTGTGCCGGAAAGGTCACGCCAACTGATGCCCATGATGCTGGAAAGGCCCCATCTCTGCTGGAGAGGCCCTGCCCCAATGATGCTCATGATGCTCCCCGTCCCTGCTTGGGTTGGAAAGCCACAGCGCGCTGATGCCCATGATGCTCGCTTGCCCACCTGCACCGGAAAGGACCTGGCCGACTGATGCCCATGATGCTCGCTTGCCCGCCTGCACCGGAAAGCTCCCCCCTGTGCCGGAAAGGTCACGCCGACTGATGCCCATGATGCTGGAAAGGCCCCATCTCTGCTGGAGAGGCCCTGCCCCAATGATGCTCATGATGCTCCCCGTCCCTGCTTGGGTTGGGAAGCCACAGCGCGCTGATGCCTATGATGCTCGCTTGCCCGCCTGTACCGGAAAGGACCTGGCCGACTGATGCCCATGATGCTCGCTTGCCCGCCTGCCCTTGAAAGCTACCCCCTGTGCCGGAAAGGTCACGCCCACTGATGCCCATGATGCTGGAAAGGCCCCATCTCTGCTGGAGAGGCCCTGCCCCAATGATGCTCATGATGCTCCCTGTCCCTGCTTGGGTTGGAAAGCCACAGCGCACTGATGCCCATGATGCTCGCTTGCCCGCCTGCACCGGAAAGGACCTGGCCGACTGATGCCCATGATGCTCGCTTGCCCTCCTGCACCGGAAAGCTCCCCCCTGTGCCGGAAAGGTCACGCCCACTGATGCCCACTGATGCCCACTGATGCCCACTGATGCCCATGATGCTGGAGAGGCCCCATCTCTGCTGGAGAGGCCCTGCCTCATGATGCTCCCCGTCCCTGCTTGGGTTGGGAAGCCCACAGCGCGCTGATGCCGATGATGCTCGCTTGCCCGCCTGTACCGGAAAGGACCTGGCCTGCTGATGCCCATGATGCTCGCTTGCCCGGCTGCACCGGAAAGCTCCCCCCTGTGCCGGAAAGGTCACGCCCACTGATGCCCATGATGCTGGAAAGGCCCCATCTCTGCTGGAGAGGCCCTGCCCCAATGATGCTCATGATGCTCCCCGTCCCTGCGTGGCTTGGGAAGCCACAGCGCGCTGATGCCCATGATGCTCGCTTGCCCGCCTGCACCGGAAAGGACCTGGCCGACTGATGCCCATGATGCTCGCTTGCCCGCCTGCCCGGAAAGCTCCCCCCTGTGCCGGAAAGGTCACGCCAACTGATGCCCATGATGCTGGAAAGGCCCCATCTCTGCTGGAGAGGCCCTGCCCCAATGATGCTCATGATGCTCCCTGTCCCTGCTTGGGTTGGAAAGCCACAGCGCGCTGATGCCCATGATGCTCGCTTGCCCGCCTGCACCGGAAAGGACCTGGCCGTCTGATGCCCATGATGCTCGCTTGCCCGCCTGCACCGGAAAGCTCCCCCCTGTGCCGGAAAGGTCACGCCCACTGATGCCCATGATGCTGGAAAGGCCCCATCTCTGCTGGAGAGGCCCTGCCCCAATGATGCTCATGATGCTCCCCGTCCCTGCTTGGGTTGGGAAGCCACAGCGCACTGATGCCCATGATGCTCGCTTGCCCGCCTGCACCGGAAAGGACCTGGCCGACTGATGCCCATGATGCTCGCTTGCCCGCCTGCCCCGGAAAAGCTCCCCCCTGTGCCGGAAAGGTCACGCTCACTGATGCCCGTGATGCTGTCTCTGCTGGAGAGGCCCTGCCCCAATGATGCTCATGATGCTCCCCGTCCCTGCTTGGGTTGGGAAGCCACAGCGCGCTGATGCCCATGATGCTCGCTTGCCCGCCTGCACCAAAAAGGACCTGGCCGACTGATGCCCATGATGCTCGCTTGCCCGCCTGCACCGGAAAGCTCCCCCCTGTGCCGGAAAGGTCACGCCCACTGATGCCCACTGATGCCCATGATGCTGGAAAGGCCCCATCTCTGCTGGAGAGGCCCTGCCTCATGATGCTCCCCGTCCTTGCTTGGGTTGGGAAGCCACAGCGCGCTGATGCCTATGATGCTCGCTTGCCCGCCTGTACCGGAAAGGACCTGGCCGACTGATGCCCATGATGCTCGCTTGCCCGCCTGCCCCAGAAAGCTTCCCC